CTGAGACTATTGGTAACGATGGGGATTGGCTGCTCATGTATTATAGGATTTCTTCTGGAGGTAATGAAATATTTTTAAATTACACAACTCTGTGTATGTACTAGAAGCCATTGAAACTTAAAAAGAAAAAAAAAAGAGAGAGAGAGCTATACTAAAAAAAACCCTTTTACATGGCACTTAACCACTTATCCACATTGGATATAAAAAAGTTCCAGAGCTAGAGATTGGGGAAATTTTTCTTTGTAGAAAGTTAGACCGTGAGTCTGAGCCTCCTCAATTACAAGATAGCTTTAAAATGACCATTCTGAGGGGTTATAAACATGGATTTTCTGGACTTTGGAAATGCAGTCGGCTAGTGTCTGCAACAACTCTGATTAATTTAAAGGACGAATGATGGCTGGCTGGCCATGCCAGTGGCAGAAATGGGAGAACTTCCTGCTTTATTTACCAATCTATATTTCTAGAGTTTGCTCAGGGCAAAGATGTTTGCCCTGTATGAATGTTAGCAATGGATCAGAAGTTAACAATGAAGATCCAATATAGGAAAATCACTTACCTGTCCTAGTGAACTACCTAGAGGGGCAAACATTTCAGTAAACAGAACCCTACTCAGATTCCTAGGACTGAAAGTGAAAAGAATCACATCCCACTCCCTCGTCCAACAGAACAGACATGTATTGGACCTTGTCAAGAGAAATACAGGCATGTCCTCAGCAATGGGGAGGTTGCTGGAGAACCTACAAAAATGTCCATCAAAATGAGATTTTAAAACTGGCTGTTGTGTTCAAACTGTCATGGATGGAAAGAGGTGCTAGGCAGAGATACAGGGAAGGAGCCACCCTGGTCTCCTTCAGCACAAGTCTTCCTGCTGGCTACAGCTCCAACCACAGGTGGCGGAAGCCTCAACCTCAAATCAGCTTCAGAGCTTTGATAATTACGTGAGACCAGAAATTTTTATTATTGAACTGATACCATGTTCTGTGATTTAAAGTCATTGTAGAACATTATTAAAGCAAACAGAAAAGTCATAGGCTGTCTAAATTTTCACTTAGCAGAAAAGCAACTAGCCTCATTCAGTGTATTTAAAAGACAGTAGGAGACACAATTTAAATAGTTTTTAATTACATTCCACCCCTTGAGCTTCTTCAAATTCAAAAATAAGCACAATAATAGTATCCAATCCATAGAATTGCTGTGATAAATTTCTTCACTGCATAGCAAACAGTGAACGCTTTTAATCAATGTTATTATTATCACTTTGCTCTTACCATTGTTGACATATCTCCTAGCTCAGTGCTGTTGATAGAACTTCTCCTCTAGATAGGAATGCTTTCTGCACCATTTGACAAGAAGCCACTAAATAGATGAGGCTACTGAGATCTTGAAATATGGGTAGTGCAAGTGAGGCACTGAATTTTTAATTTAATTTAAATTGATTTAAATATAAACATAAATAGTTACATAAATGGCTACCATATTGGACTATTCAGATCCAGACTTTGTATAATAAAGAAAAATTATATGGGGCAGAAAATTGATTGTAAATTCAAGTCCAAGTTCAGTCAATAAGGAAGACTTTTCCAAATCAAATTATTGCTTCATTAGTGTAAGAAATGATGCCAGAAAAACCTAAGAATTAATCAGAAACTAGTAGAGGTAAAGTTACGGAAGTAGAACTGTAATTTACACACCGATTTCAAAGCGAATATAACAAACATATTCACATTGAAATTTGCCAGTATTAAAATATATTCAAACTAACTTTTTGACGTTCAGTCTGGCTCATTAGCATTGATAATAAATTGCCTATGGGATTGATACTACCCATTTTCTAATGATGCAGACCAGATTGTTAAACACAGACAGTATTTTAATATGAGAAGCTGCACCACCTTATTCTGTATGAATCTTGTACCAAAAAAATATGCATCCATCTGATCAGAATATGTCAGCACAAACCTGTGAAAGACTCAGTGCAATTCCACTGTAATATTGGGGGGCAGGGGGTGAGTACAGCTTAGTGAAGGAAAGAACATTCTGCCTTCAGTAAACCTCCTGACTTTCTCTTTTCTGCGGCCAAGAAGAAAGTTTACTTTAGAAAAGAAAGGCCCAAGGATAAGAAGGCAGAGTGAGCAGGTCTCCAAACTGAAGTCTGCAGACCACAAGAAAAGACTGAGTATTTAGCATTATACTCAAGCTATGTCAGATGTTGGGGGAAGTTTACCTAAAATTAGGCAATTCTGGCCTTGTCCTAATTCGATATAGTGCCAAACAGCTGTGTAAAGTAATATTTCCTATTACCGTCACATTAATGATTTGTACGAAACTGTGGCATCTTCTGTATAATGTATCTAAGTGCTTTGAATTTGATTTTTTATGAGTTTGAAATTGCTTTTGCTCATTTTCCCCCATCTAAGCCACCTCCCCACAAACACACACAGTTCTTTTACACAGTTGGCAGTGCAACCTCTGCCCTGCAATAGGGCAGCTGCAGAGAATTTACACTATTCCAGATATATTCTAAGCTGGAGATTGCCTACTTTGTCTAGCCTAAACTTAGCCGGATACTGTGGCAGCAGATCATATAGACTCAGGAGTCTTCTAAAAACAATGTGAGATTAGAAATGCTTAAGCAGGTAAATGACTCTTAAAAAAATAAATTTGTTCAGCATATCTAGCACTTATAATGTGCTTACTGTATATGTTGCACTTTATATGAATTGTTTCTCATAAATACCTTTTGAGGTAAATGATATTTTATCCCCAACATACAAGTAAAGAAACCAAGGCTTGACAAAGACTAAGTAATAACTTGCTCAAGGGAACATAGATAATTATTGACAGAGGTCCTGAGCCATTTGTTCTGCACGATCCAATGTGGCCTCTTGGATAGAAGCAGGAAGAGTTCCTCCTATCAATCAAGGTGAAAGGTGGTGCCATCACCTCCCTGGGGTTGTGGTGACGCAGTGATGTATGAAAACAGTGTGCAACTCTCCATAAATATAACTTGCATCTAAGCTAAATGCCCTTCTCATCCCCTCTTCTTTACAGTGACTATAAAGCAGCTGGAGGAGAAGGGATGAGCTTGCTAATGTTGCAACTTTACCAGCCCTAATTGGAACCCGACCAAGGAAGCAGGAATCCACATCCACAAACTGAAAAACTTATCTGACTTCTGTGCCACTGGGCAACTGGACTCCAGAATGCGGCATTCAAAAGCTGAGCAGTCTGAGACATGATTCTTGACCTGCCTCGTGTTTGCCCAAAGCAGAGAACCTATGGGGAATAAAAAGAAAAACACCCTTAACTCAAGTCAGGGGAACTGGATTTTAGTTTGTGCTCTGTGTTTAATCGGTGGTATTGCCACTAGGCACGTCATTTTTGATCTTCGCGAGTTGCAGACTTTTGGGTCCCTAAAACAAAGATGTAAAAACCAGAAATGATCATTTAAGTCTTTAAAAACTCTAACTTTCTTCCATTTTATCTTAAGATAAAATGTACCCTCAGTATATCTCCAGAAGTAAAATGTTCACTAAACCAGCATTCTTCTTCAACATACTGGTGCTTCAAAAACTAGTTCAACAGCATCTCTTTTATAAGACTGCCTTTGGGTGTCAGTCAGGGTCCTTTGTTGTAAACAATAGAATCTACGCTGGCTAGATCAAGCAGACAAGAATATGAGGCTCAAGGAGACAAGTATATCAGGTTAGAATTTCCTGGAGGGCTACAGCCAAACCAGGAAATTACTCCATCATGACCGAAGCCAAAGCACAGAAGGAGAGGGGCCGGGTGGAAGGATGGGGACTTCTTAAGGCAGAAATCTCCTGCCACTGCTGCTATGCACCTAGAATTTGGGGACCAGTCATCTGGGGATACTGGCATTTCCATGCTGACACTGCCTTTGCCAGTGTGTGGCTCCTCCTCATGTTGCTCACTTTCAAATCCAAGACCCCCTGAGTGCTTCTAATCCTCAAAAGCTGGGTCATGTGCCTGTAACAATCTGCAGAAGAGGTAGAAAACGAGAATTCTCTGACTTCTACCTTGGGAAGGCAAGGATTCTTAATGTGAGAAAATGGACTTTGAGTGAGCAGGTGTGAGAGATGTTGTCAGTCACAGTTGAGGACTGTCCCCTACAGCTGCGAATAACACATTGCCCCTGAGTTCATCTTCCAGACTGAAGATTATTTTGAAAAAGTGTTCGTATTAAGTAAACAGTAATTAAAATGGAAATCTTTCACAGACACATTACATAAACCTATTCCTTTTGAAAGAGATGATGCACAAATTTTAAGTTTTTTGTTTTTGATGACACGAGATTTTTAATATAAACGTCCACTATGATGAAAATAGTAGATGGTATGACCAGTCATAAAAGAACCTATGTCTAGTAAAAATTACCTCATTTAGTTAAGTTTTTTGTTTTTGATGACACGAGATTTTTAATATAAACGTCCACTATGATGAAAATATTAGATGGTATGACCAGTCATAAAAGAACCTATGACTAGTAAAAATTACCTCATTTAATGGATATTCTTCCACTTCTAATTATCCTGGGGGTTATGATATATCCTGGAATCAGACCTATCTAGGTTTAAATCCTAGCAGAGGAAACTTGGGTGTTTTAGGAATATTTCTGATGCTTATATGAGACGATGACTGTTCACGGTACCTGATGCATTATAAGCACTGCACTTGTAAGCACTCACTGAGTGAGAGCTGTATATTATTATATCTGTTTTCTTTGCCCTGACTTTTCTCTTATTGTAAATCTGCTTAATGTTACTTTTTCTGATTACACCTGCCTCCCACTCTTAGAGTCCTTCCACATTTCTGCCTCTAATCTGCTATAAGATTTCTTTGTTAAGAACATTAGGTTAATAGCTCTTTAGCTTATTGATGACTTAGCTTCAGGGTCTGCATCAGTCCTGTGTGTCTGTTGCCAGAAAGGACCCCCTCAACCCCTCCCAATCAGCTTGCTTTCTTGGCTTCTCGATTTCAAACCTTTAATTTCTCTTGGCTTCTATTTGTTGTTTCCGGAAAGGTTAGCCTGCCTTGTAATGCTCTAGAGGTAGATTCTAATGTTTAATTAAACATCTTATGGGGCGAAGGTTAAAGAGAGAAGAACAACAACAAACAAAAGGATTTTTTCTCTCCTCATTAGCATGTAAGTAAGTTGTAATGCTCTAGAGGTAGATTCTAATGTTTAATTAAACATCTTATGGGGCGAAGGTTAAAAAGAGAAGAACAACAACAAACAAAAGGATTTTTTCTCTCCTCATTAGCATGTAAGTAAGAAAGTGATTTGGAGCCAGAGAAATCTTTGATTCCTAGCCAATTCATTTATTACTCAAGGATCTTTAGGCAAGATGGTTAACTGCTCTGAAAGGTTTTCCTCGTCTGTGAAATGAGAGTTTATTTGCTGACTTGTAGAGTTGCTGTGTGGATTAAAGATGCACAGCTTTCTTAGGGCAGTGGCAGGCAGACAGTAGGTGGTCCAACTCAAGGATCTTTAGGCAAGATGGTTAACTGCTCTGAAAGGTTTTCCTCGTCTGTGAAATGGAGTTTATTTGCTGACTTGTAGAGTTGCTGTGTGGATTAAAGATGCACAGCTTTCTTAGGGCAGTGGCAGGCAGACAGTAGGTGGTCCGTAAATGCAGATTGTCCTATTCATTGCAGTTGAGAGCAGGACAGTAGATAGCAGTACACTCCTGAAAAGGGAATGGTGGCTAGAAAGAGGTAAAAAAAAAGACATTCCAGGGAAAATATTGTCTGCTTCTCCTCAAGGTCAGCCCTGTCAACCTGCCAGGAGGCAAAGACTTTTAATTTGGTGTCATTTTCTCCTCCTAAAAGTACACTGTGACATATATTTGCTTTTTAAATTGAAGTGAACTAAAATTAATCTCATTATGAGAATCTGATAGTCCTTAAGGTACTTGGAGACTCCTGAGTGTCACAAAACTAGGACCCAAAACTCAGGCAATATGTCAGAGGGAAATGCAAAGGCAGCTGAAGTGGACACCTGTGGGGCTGGGGGTAAAGGGGCAGGGGATGCTTATGTATAATTTGATACCTTTTGACATTTTGTCAAAATATTGTTGCTCAAACAGACATTTAAAGCCTGATTATTTTTGAGAAATTCTTAAAGACCTGCCTAGTTGTTTCTTAGCCAACGGTTTACATTTTTGAAAGCAATTTAATTATTATTTAAATTTTATTTAAATATTCCTTGGAGGGTTGTTATTAAGCATTAATTTGGACAACCGTGGATTCTGTGGCCGTTCCTGCAGCTTGATGTGTACCTGAGCTATATTAGAGGACAGGAGATATGGATAAAGTCTAACCTTGGGTCTGTGTTCTCCCCATGGAAAAGTCTGTGCTTTTCCATAAGAAGAGGAGTTGGGGAGTAGACCCTGAGAAGGACTGGTAAGTTGCAGACATCCCCATTTTTCCTCTGAGTTCTTCCAGTCCTAATGTGATGATTTCTTCTCATCTGACTCTCTACCATCCTTCGTGGCTCCTTAATTCTCAATTGATCCAGTCTGACATGCTGAGTCTCTCTGTACCTTAAATTTGTGAATGTAGGACATTTTCTTCCTCATATCTTTAGGGTTCTGGAGCTTCCTGGAGAGAAAGCTATTAAGATTGCCACATGTCACATATTTAAAAATATTTTTAAAGCAAATTTTTTTCTAAAAATGTCTATTTGCTTAGCTCTTTAAGCCTCTGCCTTAAATTTTGTCATTTCCATTTTCCTGATTTTGAGAACCATTATACCATCTTGAACCTATATATAAGTCTCTCCAAAGACAGAAACTAGGTGATTCTTTTTTATGTTAACCTGAAATTTCCGTGTGGGTCTTGCCTGTTGTACCCATGACAGCTGGTACTACAAATTTCCCCCAGATGTCATTTACTCATGAGAAAGAGCACAATGCATTGTATGCTTTCTAACTTTCTTCCATCTAAAGGCAGAATAGAATAATTATTAAAGGCACGTGGCTCCTGGGGTCCAATTACCCAGGTTTGCTCACCTTTTATTAGTATATGTGGTCTTCGACAAATCACTCTGAGCCTTAATTTTCTTACATAAAATTAGTATAGTAACAATTCCCATGTCAGGAATTGTCATGATTAAATAGGGGTAATCCATATAAAGCACTTTCAATCAAGGGAGTACTTAAATTGGCCAGAGTAGATGGAGAATGAGGTGGAAGAATCAGGAGAAAATGACCTATGCTGATTCTTTCCTATTTGGGAATTTGCCTCTCTAACAGTAATTAGTTAGAGAATGTTTGATATACACTAGGTACTAGGGAGAGTGCTTTGGAGTAAAGGTCCACAGCTAGGTCTGTCTGACATCACAGATCTGTAACTTCTATTCTAATGACCTATGCCCAGGGTAGATACAAAGATAGAGATTTAGAAATATATATACCAGTATATGACAACCATACTGTTGGTTGCTCTGGCAAATTCTGTCTGTTACTTGCCACCATCTCCTAGAACTCTAATAAATATAATGGTGCCAGCCAACTGCCACAGGGCTTTCCTTGGTCTGATACTGTTCTGCCTGTCTATGGCAAGTTAGAAGTGCTGAGGAATTAATAAGCTACACACCATGCCAAGGAGCCCCCAGTTCATAGCTGTCTAAAGTTGGTCTACAAATACCATGGCTCTCTTGCCCCTTGTGTGTGGGATAACTCTGAAACATTATGACCCTTATGGACTCTGAGAATTCCTCAGTGGGATTAAACTCCAGTTATGCATCGTGATAACTGAATTGATAACACATGCTTTATTCACTGTGTTTCCTGGCCTATTTCATTAACCCACCCCCACATTGGTCATTCCTAAAACCATGTTCCAGATAAACTACTTGCACCCAAATCCTTCATTTCAGATCTGCTTCTGGGGGAAGCCAAGGTGAGGTTGATGCTGTGAGAATATAACTTGTTGTGAAAAGGTCACAGAGTGTCAGGTCCTGTCATATGGTGCACATTTGAGAGGGGACTCCCACTACATGGAGCATAGCAAAGATCAGCATTATGCCAACCACCAGAGACAGGGTCCATACACTTCTGCCCATTGCATCCTGGGCTTCTATTTAGCCCTACCATGCACTGATGAGACAGAATACCAAGTCTGGTGAGACAGAATACATGCACACACAATAAGTTATGAAAAGTGGGTTTATTACTTATAGATTGGCAGCAAGGGACAAAAGAGGTCTCAGGTCCATTGTGAACTGGGGTCCCGTGTGGCTCAAGAAAGCTTCCCCTGGTTGATGGAGTTGTGACTGCACATGCCTCATTACACCACAGCTG